CATTATTACTACAGAGCTACTTCTGTGACCATCGTAAAATTACAAAATTTGCTTTTTTGACGAAATGAAGATATATTTTGGAACTTATGTTTAAAGACATGGAAATTTACTTCATCAACATCTCTTTTTTAAATACAAATTTCTGTTCGAACTCTTAATTAATTAAATGTAAATTTCAGCAAAATTAATTTATTTATATAAATTTTACATTGTCCTATTTCCAAGTTAAAATAAAAATTCAAATTATAATTTCTATTAAAAATAATTGAGCCGTGACTTTCCTTTGAGTTGAATTTTGATCTTCTTACATTCTAAATTCCATGAAAAATTGAAAATTATAAGTATTTTGTTGCTTGATAAATAGCTCTCTGCAAAAGATCCACTGAAAATATACAATTTAAATTTTCTTTGTTCAACTATTTTGTTTGTTTTTGCCTCTGGCAGTTTTGCTTTCCGGCCAACTCTTCCGCATACCTGTCTGTAAAGAAAATTTTTGATTTAAATTTGATTATTCTACCTGTGAAGCAAAATTAAGAGCTGCCCACTTAAGAATAATGTGAACCGATTTATTAGCTTGCAATTTTTGCAAACCAATCCATGAAAATTTGGCTTTTAATAGTTTTTCTTACATGGCTTCTATTTAATAACTTCATTTAATTTTTTTATTTTATTATTCCATTTACATTCAAATTTCAAATAAAAAATATTTTCAAATTTTCAAATTTATTCCCTGCTAAAGAGAGTTTCAAGATACAGATGGTTCATTAATTTTTATCGTATCGACTTGTTGGCTAAACAAAACAGGCCCCATTCCAAAGCGGGGTTTGATCAGAAAACTGTCCTTGTGGTCGGAAAAGAGTGGCTCCGGTCATTTGAAAAAATAAATATAGTTGGAGAGTGATTTGTGTCGGAGGCACCGGGTGTATCGATTTTTCGAGTGTCACGCTAGTTTCGGAGCCGAGTGACAGAAAAGTGGCGTGAGATTGTGATCGCGCATTCACATTATTATTGTGTGAGCCAGCGAAAGAGAGAGTAAGTCACACACTGGCCGTATATACGAGCTGGAGAGAATGCTTGTGCTGAGCAGTCACTCAAGCAATAATGAGTAACGAACGTTTTTTTCCATAATAAACCTCGAGCCGCCCCCTCAACCCAGGTGACCGCAGCTCTAATGCGAGTAGCACCGCTTTGTGGCGTGGTTTTTTTTCAGTTAGGTGCCCGGCTAATTACTCAAATCGGACTTTTTGGTCAGCCAAACACACCTACTTTTAATTGCATTACAAGCGAGAGCCGCGACGGCTGAATTAAAAGCTTTTTAATTAAACGTTACATGAAGGAGAACGGTTAGGATAATTATTAGGGCTTAAAACATTTTGACTTATTAAAATGCGCATTGATTTTTTTAAGTGCAAGTCAGCTAGAATCATATTTCTGAATATTGTGGCAGAAAATGTGCAAGAGAAAAAATTGATTTGAAAAAAAAATAAAACGTTTTATTTTTAGGCTGAAATTTTTGGTCATTATAAATTTTTTTCCAGCATTTGTCAATATTAGTAAAAAAATTTATAATATATAACTTACTCTTTCTCTCTAATTTTAAACGCTATCGTTGAAAATCAAAATCAAATTATCTATTTCTGATTGCTTTGCATAGCTTCAATCACTAAGGAAATTAAAATTATTTTATCTGAATCTTGTTTTTCCGAAAGTTGTAAACATCATTAAGAAACGAAAAATTAAATTTTTCATCAAAAACAGTGAAATTTCAAATTTAAGCTCCAATTACTAATTCATACATAAATGATATAAGCAATTTTGCAGTCATATGCATCTCTAAAAGTGCAGGCAAAAATTTTTCAAGAGAAATTCAATGACCGAAATTCTGCAGATGCCAATAATTCACAAACGAATATAAATTTATCCACATCAGATTTTAAGTGTGAAAGCAGATTTTAGGAGTTTCATGGTGGTTTTGAATTAAGCTGGGCGTTGATCTAATTAAAAGTTTTTGTTTGGCCGCCGCGCGCACGTTGTTTGTCAACCGATGAGAAAATGCTTTTAATCTTGTTATTCAATTGCGTCCCGGCGGTGCAATAGATCACGCAATTAGCCAAGGACCGCCGCAGTCTTGAGGCTGCTGGGCATTTCATTAGACTCTACCTCATCACTCACCCCCGCGCACCCCGAGGGTCGCAATTAACTCCTCTCCACTGCGTGCGTTCGGGAGCAGAGGACAGCATCGTGGCAGTCAAGCCCTTTCCTCATTCCCACACAAGAAACTCTGAAACAACAAACCGCACAACAATATTTATAAATGTAATAAATTTACTAAAATCATTCAGTATTATTAAAAGAAACTTTTACACTTCGTTGGAAACAAAATATTATATTAAAAAATAAAACAAAGCAATATGTTGGCTTTTTAAAAATGCGAAGCTTATTAAATGGGTTTTATTATCATTAACTTTCTTAAAAAAATATTATTTATTTTCAATTTAATAATTGCCATTGCAAAAAACATTTTGGTGTGATTGAGTTTTTATTTTATTTCGACTGCTGTGTATAATTTAGTCGAGGAAAGTGTGGAATTGTGAAGGGGGTGCCAAATGAGAGAGCCTTTCTCTCTGCCCGAGTGCACCTTTGCCGGCGAAAATAGCAGCGTGACTGATTCCCGAGCCAAGATAACGCGCACGCGAGCTGCTTTTCCTCTCTCTAGAATGCACTCATGATTTGCATAGAAAAAACCGACACTCTCGTAATATCGTGCTTCGGTGGCAGGATGACCAAGCAATTTTTTATTTAATTAGCTGCACGAACAGCAATTTCTGATCACACTTTGCTTAAATTGACCTTTTTAAAAATATAACTAGTAGTAATAATAACTAGATTTTATTTAATTGCAAATTAGTTTAATTTACATTTTTTAATATAAAAGATTTACAAGTTATTGAATTTACTATTTTTAACATATTATTTATAGTTAGTCATATTAAAGTCACTTTATTTATTTCAATTTTTTTAACAGTCATGCTGGTAGTTGTGTTATTTTTTTGTCTTTTTAATCAATTATATTTAACTAGGCATTTCTCATTGATCTCTCTACACTAGAATCATCCTTCAATAATGTGGTTGCATCAATCTCTCTCTTGTTCTGATGAATTACTTTTATTTTAAAAATTATTTGTTCATTTTTATTTATTTCAATATTCCATTGACAAAAATACTATGGAAAGCTCTTCATTCCACCTCCTTCAATTAAAAATCCGATTTCAATAAAAATGTAATCTACTTATTTCAATTACAAAAGTCAACAAAAATAAATATGCATTGAATTGAATATTTATTAGATTTTGAGTCGTTCTGCAACCCACAAGAGAGAAACAACTCACATGAGACTCATCAAGGAAAAACCTTTTAATTAATTAATCAATTTGCAGGAAGCCTTGATCAAATAAAATTGTTGCAAAAAAATATATGAAAATCCATTTAGCAAAAAATAATACTATATCGAATTTTCCCTGAATAAAAAAACCAAATCCAAAATTAGGGTAGTCGGTTACTTTTAGTAGTGCATTTTTTCGTTATTCATGTTATGAATAAAATAGATGTGTGGAATTTTCGCTGTTTTATGTGCGCGAAGCGTGAATAAAGCGAACTGACCAGTCCGTAAGTAAAGCACATCAGAGAAAAGGAGAGGGTTATATTGGTTATTTTTGCCGCTGCAGCAATTCCTTTCTTACTTATTAAGGCAGGACACAATCCATTCTTGCGGGCAACGCGCATTGTGAGTGTCGCGCTTGACTTTGTCAGATTGACGGATCGCCCCAACTGACAGAAAAACACGTGTACCATCCACGGAATAAGCCGATTAAGCAGCTCACTCTCGCTGCTGCGCGCTAATTAAATCAAACCCCTTCGCTGCAAGATCAACAACAATATGTTACTTATTTAGACCTTAATATCTGTCCCTCCCTTAAGCAATCTGCCAGCTTTTTCCTTCACATAGGGTTGGGAATTAAATCTTGCTCCAATATAGAAAATTGAAGGGCTGAACAAAAAATTAGATCGAGTCTCAACCTATTTCTGAGAGACGATAGAAGGTTTTCAAAAAATGAGTTAAACCATAATTTAACTTAAAAATTAAAACTGATAATAATTTTTTTTTAAGATAAATTGCAAAACAAAATTCATACAGTTAAAATATATAATTTATAAAATAATTTAAAAATTATATTTTAATATTTTTTTTTTTTATTTTCTTACAAACGAAATAAATTTTGTTTTGGAATTGTATTATATTGTTTTATTATTTAACTTATTTAATTTAATATATATTTTGTACAAGCTACAAGACTAGATAATTATTTCATTCATCCTAATTTAGAACTTAATTTTGTGCGTTCCCCATGTCTTTCATATTTCATATCTTTAAATGAATTTTAAGTTTTGTAGCAGAAAAACAATATCCTGCTCTACATGTTTCGGCTGCGGGCTGCAGCCATAATTCATGAGCTGTGAAATCATTTTGACAAGAATTAGTGAAAAATCAATCTTTTTTTTTTCAAAAATGATTTTTCTTTCAAATTGCGAAACAAGTAGGGCAGGATATTGTGTTTTCTTAAATAAATAAAAACTCACAAAAACCCGTCGAGAAAAAGGCGAATTTTAAATTTAAATCACCATGAATTTTAAGTTATTGAAAGGTTCGCAAACAAATTATTAAAATTACTCATCACGTAACTTTTGCGGTTATTTTATTATTAACGTTATATTTATACCATTTTCCGGAATATTAGCTGAAAACAAAACGTTTCAAACATTTCCCATTTATACTCAATGCACTCTTTTTAATTCTTGTGAAGATCATGAGTGTTCTTCAGCACCTTTGATATAAAAATACAAAACCTTCTGATTTGATATTTTCAAATCAATTGAAAAATTCTATTTAATTTTGTTTTGATATTTAACATTTATGTCAGAATTTGGTAATTATGTTTCAGCATGCAAAACGAGCGTGCAGGAGTTGTTCCAGCAACACCACCAGCCGCCGTCACTGCAGCTGGGCCCTTCGCCGATGGTCAACTCGGGACCGCTGGGCCCCCTGTCGCAGTTGGGCCCCGTGTTGAGTGGCGCGGCGGCCTTGGCGGCAGGCGCCGGCCGCACAAACTTCACCAACAAGCAACTCACCGAGCTGGAAAAGGAGTTTCACTTCAACAAGTACTTGACACGCGCCAGGCGGATAGAAATTGCGTCGGCCCTGCAACTCAACGAAACGCAGGTAAGTCAATACCAAAGAGTATTCTTGGTTACAATTCTGCGAAATCTTGTGTCTGTACTCAGTCATTTTTTATTCCGGAGTCTTTTGGAACTGAAGAATCATCAACATGAATTATTCATCTTATAAAATTTTGCAATTTCATTAATTAAAAGCAGCAAAATGATTCTTGTCTGAGATATTTCCTTACAAATTTATTTCATGTCAAAAGAGTTAATTTTTCAAGTATGATCTGATTTAAGTTCAAAAAATTTATACTCCCATAAAAATTGTTACCAGATATTATATTTTGGTTATGACATTATTGACATTAAAAAGTTCTTAAATTGATTTTATTTATAGATTTGAGTTATTATTAAGACCAATTTGACATGAATGTATAATATTTTATAATTATACATGTGTAATTTCGCAATGTAATTTCTGACACAACACATAGGTCATCCTGTTGCAATTACAATGTTTTTGTTTAAGTATTCCATTTACTGTAGATTCCACAAGCAGAATATAAAAAACAATAAAAATTTTAAATTATATTTTAATTTTTAATTTTGATTCTTATATTGAATCACTCAGCACTATAACATTATAATAATTTGTAATATCATTTGCTAATTTATAATTGCAATAATCAAATAAAAATAGTTTAATTTTATATATTAAAAATATAATTTAAATTAATTTACTAAATATTTATTACAATAAAAAATAACAAATGCAGCTTTTTTTTATTTCTCATTTTCATATTTCGAATCATTTTTTGCAACTACACCACACATTTATATGTTGCCCAGGTGAAGATCTGGTTTCAAAACCGGCGGATGAAGCAGAAAAAGCGGATGAAGGAGGGCCTCATCCCTCCAGAGCCCCTCGCGACGAGTCCACCGAGTAGCAGCAGCAACTCCCCGAACTTGAGCGGGCCCCTGGCGCCCCACGAGGGTTCGCCCTCGGCTCCCTAGTCCCGCCTCCTCACGGTTCCTCAACTTGTCTCTCTTTGTGGTGAGAAAACGAAAAAACATTTTAATTTGGGAAACAATGAAATCTGCTACACGTCAGAAGATGGAGAGAAAAGAAAAGGTGGCTCGGAATGAAAAAACAAAACTCTTGTGACTTTTGGTGTGCATGCTCGTTCACTCGCTGGTTCATCATAATTTATCATCATTAATTATCTCAATGTACTGATGTAAATAAAAACCGACCTCTGTAGATCCTCAATAAACTTATGGCAAATAATCTATAAATTTTTTGCTTCATTATTGTAAATTTCTTCTGATAAAAAGTGATTTAAATTATTATTTTTCTCATAAGTCCCTGGATTTTACTTTTCCAGCTAATCTTAAGGTGATTTGAGATCAAATACTTTAATTATACTAATTATTGTTTATTGTAAGTCAATATTTAATAACAAAATGTAAAAAGTAATTTAAAAAATTTATTTTTCCCAGATTAATTATTGTAGCTGTTGAGCAATCTTACGAAGCCTCGATGGATATGTAATTGAATAAATTAATGCATTATTAAATTACTGCCATCAAAATCACCCGGCCCATTTTTAGCTTTTTCTCTTTTCAGTTACAAGAAGTTATTCACAAATATAAAGTTGGTCAGCCATTTTGGTGCAAGTTAATTAGAATTTCAGATTAAGGCGAAAGAGTTGGCTCTTCCTGCGTGATAGCCATCTGACATCAAACGTCCTGAGAGGAACACAGCGGCTGTCTCTCTTGGCCAGAAAGGTATAAAGGTGGGCGTCCCCTGAGAAACGAAGCGTCTATTCTCACATCCCTGCGTCCCTCAGGGTTTTATACATGCGGCAGCTGTCAAGGTGTCAGCCAGGCCCATCTGATAACAGCCCAGCCTCCATAATGAAAAAGACGTGTTCTTTCTCTATTACCTGCAGATGATCGTCACACTCATGCCGACAATTAAAATTCCCTTCCAAGTTTATTTTGCTTTTTTCATAATTAAAAAAAGGATTTTTTTATATATCCAGATCATTATTTGTTTTACATTCTATTCCAGACCTTCGCAAACAACGTTTAAAGCGTCTAAGCAGCTAATCTCTTGGAGTTGAAGCGAATGAACTTCATTTTTGTTTTTAACCTTAAAAAGAAGGCGCACGCAAGTGGGGCTGTTGCCTTTGGCGGTGAAATTGCTGGGCGCCCAAGGCACGATGCTCGCATTGAAAGGCACGTATTTCCCATTCGGAAGGTAGCAATATGTGAAACTCGGTTTGCAATAGTTTTTCATCAAAAACATCCTCAGCGAGCCAGCTTGGTAAAAGGTTGAAGCTACAAGTATAAAATAAAATATTAAACTAGTGAAGATTGCCTCTAATTAAATAAATAAAAATGATAATTAAATAAACCTATTTTCAAATAAATAACATCGTCATTTTAAAGCAATATCTAAAAAAGAAAAAAAAATCTGGAACTTTCTGGTGTGGAAATTATTGCTGCAAATGAGGGCAATGTTAAAATTGAGCAAAAAAATAAATCATCAAAACAGTGCAGATATCTATGGGAAAATTTAATTTTTTATTTGTTCAAAAGTCGATAGCTGACTTAGACATTGTGATATTTTACAATAAAATAAAATTTATTGAATAAATTAAAAACTGTTTGCAATTATTCGTGTCTAAATAAATTTTGCAGTGCGAATTAAAAAATTGATATAACTATTTATAAATAAGGCAGTTGTTACTCGTGTAAATAAAGTCTAACGTTATTTCAGTTAATTTTACGTACGTAAATTGCTTATTACGCATTTCATTTCCTCCTCGCTCTTTGGTACCCATGGAGAACTTGGACGAATAAGTCCTCCTGCACAGGCGTACACATGGCGCTCATAATCATTCTGAGAGATAAAGAGACAATTAATTTTTTTCTCTTTTTTTGGACACAATAAGATTTATACTGGAAATGGCAGACTGTAATAAATGGTCTTGTTGCACATTTTTTTAAAAGTACCTGGACCTAGTGACAGATAAAATAAACTTATTATTACGCAATAAACAAAAATACACCAGATTAATTAAATGTAAATAATTTTGAAAACCAATAGTGAGAGGAATTTTTTGAAAAATCAAATCAAGTCGTTTCAACAATGTCTATTGTTTGGTCTAGAAAAGCGAAAAATTTTAAACGGTGCACTGTTGCAGACAGGATTGTCATTATCAAAATAATTACGGTTATACATAATATATAATTGCCGACTAAACACATTGCAGCAATAGTAAATAGGACATTTCATGAAAACATAAAATACCTGCTGTTAGCTCCCCTTACGGATTTTGCCTTCAATTCATCATGGTTGATAATTATTCAACAAAGTGTTCCATTATTGTTCGCTTACCACATCAGAATTAAAGTCAAAAGTTATGCAGTCAGGACACGACGCTCCCTGAAATTTTTATTAATGGATAAAATTGCTTTTAACAAAGACTTTTATTGTCTACTCGAGCATCTAAGCCAACGCCAGTTTTTCTGTCAAAATAGCACTTTTCGCTACTATTATTTTTGGGATTTTTGTATGATGCAGATACGTTTCCAACCAATCCCAAGCATTGAGCGATACATTGTCGGACAGTGTTATGGAGCCCACACTCTTGAAATCATGAACAATAGATGGATTTTTATGTAATTAAAAAGAAGATGGAAAAATACCGTCATTCTGCTTGCTGATTATCGGCACCTTAGCGAATTAAAAAATAATACTTGCAAAATATTATTCAGATTCAATTTTACCATGAAAAATATGAAAGCGAGCAAGTCCTGTCGAAAATATTTTGATGTAAGCAGCCGTAGAAAAGTGCTGAAAAGCATAGCATCGAGGGACGTGAATAACATCTGTGTTCGTGCAGGACCTCCGCGTTTTTGCGGTTTGTTTATCCAGAAGCGGATGTTCGTCGATGGACGCAGAATTTTGGAATATTTGATAAAAATCAAATGACGATTTTAGGCGACACAAGTCAATATTCTGGAATTTTGTTGTTGTTTATTATTCAAAAATAAACCCAACAAAAATTGGCATAATTATGGTTATTGAACAGGACGTGCAAAATGACGCTGCATGATAAAAAAAAAATCAAATTATTACGACTATTACATTATTTATAATTTTTTTTTACAGATTTTTTATGTAAAAAAGTTTATTTTGCTTTTCATTACTATTTTTTAAGCAGATCTCTCGACCAAAGAAAAAAATATTTTAGTAAGAAAGTGGTACTTAAGAGGAAAAAAATATAATTATAGGAAATAAACTGGATTAATTTTCTGTTTATTAGACAGCACAATTCATGCAAGTGACAGAGTCAACCATTAATACTCTGCACTTGCAGGCATGGAAAATTTTCAGGTCCCTTCTTTTTTAGGTGGAAACTGCTAAAAAAAAAGTAAAAATTGATGGTGTACAGGAAATGATGCTTGGTCGCCCAGGTGCTTCCAAATGCTGAATTTCTATATTATTATGATATACATTATATGTATCATTCCCGTCAAAATGAAACACAGCACAGAAGGATACAAATTTACTGATGTATGTATTTTGTTTAAAAACAAAAAAGTGCTGGTGTATTCCGCTCTTCATTCCTTTAATTTGAAACTGTATTAATCATTTTATTTAATAGAACAATATTCTCCTTATTTAATAAAACTGAAAAAAACATTCTCATTTTGCATTTTTTTTCCCTTTACTGTATAATGAATTTAGTGAAATTTTCAAAGCAATAAAAATAGATATATCTTAATATTTCTCGGAATTTGACACTGTCACTATACAGCATGGGCAGATTATCAGTTAAGGACCGCTGAACTCCTTTTTGAGAATTTGATAAAGGTCATACAAAAGTTTTGCTATAACACTCATTGTCTTGCGTATTTTAACAGTAATATTTGTTTAAACAATTCTTAGAAATAATTCAAAAGAATTAAAAAAAAAAGTTTAAAAGTATTTTTTTTCCAATTTAATCAACTCATATATTTTTCCAGTAAATCTTTATTTAAACATTAGGACTCGGTTATATTTCACATTATTCTAGACCCTCGCACACGGCGTTCAGTTTTTCCACGCAACTAACTTCTTGGAACTGCATCGAATGAACTTCGTTTTTGTTTTTGACTTTAAACATGAGACCCAAACAGGTGCGGCTGCTGCCTTTTGATGTGAAATTGCTTGGTGCCCAAGGAAGCATGCTCGCATTGAATTTCACGTATTTCTCATTGGGAAGATTGCAATATGCGAAGTTTGATTTGCAATAATTTTTCTCCACAAATATCCTCAACGATCCAAAACCAGATCCAGTTGGGTGGTACATTGAAGCTGTAGATTATAATGTCATTATTAGATGCTAGAGAGAAATTATATTATGCTTCATATATACATATAATTATGCTAAAATTTTGCTTAAATCGTGCCATTTCAAATAAGTAAAAAAATCAAATAAATATATTTTTCTTCTACAAATCTATTGTTATGTAAGATGAAAAGTTGTTTAAAAATTCTCATTTAGGTTCCAGAAATAGATTACAAAATAATATTCAATAGGACATACGCAAATTGCTAATAACACATTTCATTTCATCCACGCTTTTGGGTACCCACGGAGAACTTGGACGATAAATTCCACCTAGACAGACGTACACATGACGATCATACTCAATCTGGTGAAGAACAATAACAAAAAAAAAAAAAATAATAATTGTCAAAACTCTTTATCTCTGTAATTAAAATCATACCGGAATCGCCGTATTGTAATAAATAGTCTTGTTGCACATTTTTTTAAAAGTACCCGGCACTTTAAACAGAGAGAGATAAAATATTATAGCAAGATTGATTTAATTTTTTTCATTTTATCTCATAAATAGAACCAAAAAACATTGCAGCTATAATTTTTTAATAAATAATGTTATGATATTTGACATAATTACTTGCTGCGTTGGTTCCCCTTATGGTTTGAGCCTGCTCATTAAATTAATTACTGTTTATTAAAACTACCCATCAACGATTTCTATGCCATATAGTCTTACCACCTCCGACTTAAAGTCTAAAGTCATGCAGTCTGGACATGAAGCTGCCTAAGAATTTAGTATTGGAAATTTTTAGCAACTCTAATTTTTATAATTTGTGTTCGTTTACATGAGCATCTAAACCAGCGCCAGTTTTCTTGTCAAAGTAGCACTTTTCACTATTATTTTTAGCCGATGCATTTCCAACCAATCCCAAACATTGAGCGATACATTGCCTGATATAGCCATTGTAATAGCGTCCGCACTCTATAAATTGTTTAAAAGTTAATTCTTTTTCACAATTGAGAAATTTTGAAATTATTTACGGTCATTCGATTTACTGATTACTGGCATCTGGCCAGTATAATAATAATTAATAAGTAATTAATGAGAAGTCAAGAAACTTTCCACAAGCAAAATGATATGAATCAAAAGAAGTCGGAAAAAATTAGATTGAAATGGAAATATACTGAAAATCATGATGGTATCAGTCGATGGACGTGCAATATTTGTGTGGAGTTCCCTTCTATTGCGAGCATTGCGTTTTATTTGTGCACGAACGGAAATATGCAGCCGATTGACGTAGAGTTCTGACAATTTTCAAGTACACGAGTCACGTGACATGATGAACCCGTATTATACAAATAATAGTGAAAATAACAAATTTAATGCAGTTTTATTAATTGTATTTATTGTGGTTTTTCCTAAAAAAAAAATAAACAATTTCGATTTGTGACGAAGACACAATCGAGGTGGAAATCAAGTTTAGGAATTGAAACTCGATAATTCCTTGAGGAATTAGATAATTGTATTGTCTGTTGGTGCAAAACAGTATCATAAGAATATTTATTGATTAATAGCCGAGTTTCAATTCTTCAGGCCAAAGACAATTGACACTAAAAAAAATTAAATAAAACGCCACAGAATATGTAAAAATATTTTCTCTATCTAATGTAAATTTATTTGTTAGAGAACAGCATTTTTCTTGTTTGAATTTTTCCAAACCTTTTTTTTCTTTCTTAAAAACCAATGAACTCTGAAAGTCTACGGAAGTTTCAACATTTGCAATCGGAATAAAATAGAGTCCTGCAGCGTGTGGGCTGCAAAAAATCAGCCGTTTTTCCAAGAGTGTGGCGGAACAGCATAGAATTCGGGGGCTGCACTTTTATCTGGAGATAAAGGGGCCTGTGTGTGAAAAAATAATTACGGCTGCAGCCAGAGAGATGGATATTACAAAAGTTGCGGGCCAGACTCATCCATCAAGCAGCTATCAGCCGGCCGGCCGAGCCGCCCCCCGGCAGCCCTCGGAGCGGCTCCGGAGGCGGCGGCCGGGAGCGGCGCCGGTCGCCCCTCGCAGTTCCTGCCGGCCTGGCCGCGAGTCGAGCCGAAATAATCGCCGGAGAAACAGTGACAGCAGCAAAACAGCCAATCGCTCTCGCTCTTTTTGTGCCAAAATTTAATAGAAATTTCCACGCTTTTCAGCCTGCTGCGGAGACACGACGTTTGGGCCTCTGTCCGACGCACGCACACCGATTCATCAACCTTTGTCCAGATGCTTACAGCTGATATTTCTATTTGTGCAGCGCGCGATCCGTCCACTGGGAGTTCGCACTCTTTGTCTCTTTTTCTCCGCGCGCCAAGCGATTTTCAACAAAAAAATTTTCCCCAGCTTTTATTATGCATTTATTTTGCTCCAGTTGTAAATTATTTCTTACTTTTACTAAAAGTTTGATAAAAAAAAAATACATGAATAAAATAAGCGCCATAAAGAAACTAAGGTTACAATTGACAGTGAAATATTGAAGGAAAATAAATTGAATGTGAGAAGCCTAAATTTTGTTAAGGTTCTTTTTCAAGTAATTTGCACATGAATTTAATAAAATTCCTGTTGTAAATTTAAAGTTTGTTGCGGCTTTAGCCTTGTTTTGTTCCTATTTTTTATTTTTTATTATTTAACTGAAAATTTAGAGAAATTAACATCAAAAACGATCTCACGATTTAGTTTCCTAAATTTTAAGCTTTGATGGAAATCTAAGATCTAGATTGTTTCTTTGGAGTGGAATTGGACTATAATCCAGAATAAAACGTTTCTATATTAGTTTAAATTAATTTATAACATTAAAGAGTTCCATTCATCTTTCCTAATAATAAAATAAATTTAATATTATTTGTAATACAACAAATTGACGTAAATTTTAAACTCAATAATGTATTTTCTGATTATTGAATTATTATCATAATTTGGATTTCAATTAAATTTTCTATATACTTTTATGAAATATTTAAAATAATCAATTTATAATTTTTATAGGTGCTGAAAGGAGCTAACAGGAGTTAATTATTACTATCGTTAAATTTTATTTCTCTATCTCAAATTAGGTGCAGTTCTTGTATAATAATAGATAATATATAAATGACTTTTTATAAAGGTTCTGTAAAGAAACGATTGTGCAAAAAAATGTGTGATGTTTATTTCAAACTTATTAAATGTTTTTATATTAAGAAAATATTACAGCTCTAGCTCAGTTTTTCGTTGAAGAAAAATACACTGTGGGTTGTTCTTATCAGCTTTACAATTTATAATTTTTTGAAAGTTGGAAAACTTGTATGAAATTATGCATTAATGACATTGGACAGAAATAAAGATTTTTCAGAGATGGTGAATCCACTGGACTTTTTGATCACTTCATAGTTTTTTTTCCTACTAACACCCCGCTTTCAACAAATTGGCGCAAGTGATCGATGGCATTTTTTTCCCTGAAAAGAACTTATACGGAAATAATTCCCCATAGAAAAAACTGGCCATTTTGGAAGGCAAATTCGTCGAATTACATTCTGAACAAAAAGAGCTTGTGAAAAGCAGGCTCCCCTAAAGCAAAGTGTCGGCTCAGGATAGACACGTTTCGGCTGTTACATTTTATATTTTTCTGAGCGAACGACTTCGCGCGCAGTTAATTCGGAGCCGCTCTTTTGAGCGAGAGAGACATCCAAAAGTCTGACAATTGCATTAATAGGTAATGCGCAGTGACAGGGCCAGTGATGGATCACCGTGCACCGCAGAGACCACCTGCCTTCGCATCTCCATATGCACTTCTCTTGCTGCAATTATAATTTTGTACACGATGTTGTGTCCCCCAAATCGAATTTCGAAGCGAAACCAGCCCGCCGGCCGACCGACGCCTGCCACTCGCCGGATAGGCCACTCGCATCACGTGCCGACTTGGCCGGTTGCATAATCAAAACTTCTTTTTGAATTAAATCTCAATATGGAATTGTCACACTACGGAAAAGGGATATTATTATTATTTATTCTTCTCAGTCAATACAAAAATTTCAAATTGGAAAAAAAAGAGAAGAAAGGGTTTACAACTAGCAGATGTCTGCTAAAACGCCCGACATCAAAAGAGACACGGCCGCCGCGGATAATTTAGAAAAAAAGAGAAGGTCCTTTTAATAAGTTATCAAAATGTCTCTTTTCTTTAAGATAATGTTTTGGTTGTCTTGGCTAAGGCTAGAGAAGAATTTTTTTTATCGATTAGTTACAATAAAAAAGACTAATATCAACCGCATATCATATTTTTTTTTTAAATATTTACTCAAATCACGATTTTGTAATTACTATCAGCGCGACAGAAGAATAAAATGTTTATCTATCAGACTTCAATATAATAGAGCTTTGTGTTATTGAGAAATAATAAATATATATAATTTTTGTTCTAATACTGCAACGTCTTCATAAAAAGTGGTAAAAAGAAAAGGTTTGTTCGTTAAATAAAAAATGATGGAACTAAACAAATGTTAAAATATAATTCAAATAATAAATAAAATGTATGGTTGAATATTAATAAATAATCATTATGGTATAATTGAAATACTCTTAAATTTTTAAGTTTATTTATTATGTTTTAAATTATAATAATTTTAAGTACTTATTACGTTTGGCCAAACTGACAATGCAACTAAATTACTATGCATGGTATGGTATAAGTTCTCTGTGTAACGTTATTTTTTGTCGCAGACATACTTTAAGATCAAAAATTTCTCCATGATATTTCAATTAAATTTCCAGAAACATATGGGAAAGACCACACGCTCACTTGCTAGGAGGAAAACACGGTTGTGTGTGATGTGGGGCTGCCTCAGAGTGAGGAATTTTTCCATCACGAGAGTTTGAGTCTGCAGCTCTCAGGGCTTTTGCTCCGAGGGCGAGCGAGAAAATAGGAGCTGCTGCTGTCTTGGTTGTTTAAGTTTTCATTGAGCAGGTACACAGTTTGGCACTAGCTGAGGTGATCCATCAATCTGCTGCCTGCTCATATCTCAGCCCCGCTCCATATTATATGCTACTCTTATATTTGTGAGAGAGCCTTTTTCTCCTTGCTCTGCGCGCTCTTTCTTTCCCAAAAATACATTGCAACAAATTCCCATCTCAGCGCACGCCACTCGACTCTCAAGACACGTTATTCCTCTCGGCTTTGGAGCCATCACGCCACTTTTCACAATAAAAAAAAAAAAAAAAAAAAAAAATAGAACTAGCAGTTGCCATTTGCGCGCCTTGACATGACTGAAGAAACGCATCAAGAAAAAGCACTTATTAAGGGAAATGAAGAAAAAAGTGCTCTTCTAGGTGTTCTAGGTTTATTTTGATGAAGAAGAGATTTTATTTGGGATTTTTCATTTTAAACCTTGAAATAATCAAGCACAATGATTATGCAAATCGTGAAAAATATAAAACATTATGTGATCCATAACAGAAAAAAATATAATTTACAAATAATATTGAAACATTATTGCTATTTTTTTTATTTGCTATCTTATCAAATTGGTGTTTCATAATTTGATAAAAATTTTAATTCACTGAATGAAATTTAAATTATTATTATTACTATTATAAACTGTATAAAAATTCGTATTTTTTTTTTAAGAGTGGAGTGAGAGTGCTGGAGCGACTTCATATCTAAAAAACAGCAGTTTTTTAAATTTTATTGTTATTAGTGTTAATTTTTTAATTGTTACAAGGTTCTAGGCAGTTCTAGGTAAGGTTAACACGTTTATTAATGAAGTAGTTGAAAACCTAAAAATATTTGAAATATTTTTCCTGCTAATAATACCAAATTGAGAACGATACACGTTTTCAAAGCTCAGTTTCCTTTTAGTGGTCTCTCCTGACACCTTCTGTTAGAAGGATGAACTCTCTGATCAGCTTCAAGAGCGCGCGGAAATTTGATAGTTTTTCAAAGGGGAGGAAAGGGGGTACGACACTCATGTACTCAATGTACTGCCACCTCATAAATACAAAATTTATTGTACATTTACCAGTTGGTTGAGGAGAATTGTAAAACAAAAACAATTTTCTCTCGACCATTCAATTTATTTATTTATATTCTATATTTTTGTAGCTCCTGAAAGATATTAAATAATCATCTTACTTCATTACAATTAAAACAGTTACATTTTACAGTAGCTGAAAATTATTATTTTTGCTACGAGAAGAATCAATCAATTATCGATTCCATTCTGCGCGCCGCAAAAGCGCCTCTTTTATTTTCTTTATTTATTTGATATTGATCGACGGTGTGCTGCTGGTTGCTCGGCGGACCGAGTTCAGGGGTTGCATTGGAGATGGCGTGTGGGGTTGCACGGGGCGCAACAGGCCCATAAATCAAGCTCGCCAGCCCGCCAGCCAGGGTGCACCCTCCGCATGTCGACACACCAGATAAACAAGCCATAAATCCAGCATTAAAAGAGCCACTCTGGTCCATTCCATTCATCCAGCCACTCAGTCACGTGTTGCGCCCTCTTTATTGCATGCATATGCGAGTGCCAGCCCAATAAATCATGAGAATGTTTATTTCCTACACCTGAAGCCGAAAGGGTGGAACGGTGTGACGGAGTGAAACACGCAAATAAAAACTGAAATAAAATCGGACACTTCGATATATCATAAAGTGGAAAAGGAAAATTAAAAGGTCATACCAATAATATTTAATCCAGAGATTTAAATGTGCAAGAATTTCTTGTTAATTTATTTCATAAAATCAATTTAATTTTTTTTTTAATTTTAAAAAGAATCCTAATAATCTCTCTGTTTAGATTTTAAAAAGCCTTATTTGCTTTATGAAATTGCTCCACGGCAGAATAGGGTCTCTCCGCAGCAATAAATCACTTTAATAGGCTAATTGCCGACGGCGTTTAACTTTTAATTGTGTGCTGCTGGCTGAAATAATTGCAATAACCGAGTGAGCCATACAAGGTACTTGATTAAAAGAGCAATTTATTTTTTGGCGAGGGTGCAGCTCTCGATTGGACACGCGGCTCCAGCTCTCAACTCGCGCGCTTCCCTAGCTTTTATATATTCCCAGCATATTTATGCTGCTGGGGGGGCTGCGCGCCGAAATGAAGCATTAAATACACGAGAGGCAGATGCGAATTAATAAAACGAGCGTTTCATCCATCTGGCCCACGTTGATCAGCGGGTCTGCTCTTGGGATAAATGGTTTTGCCGCCCTTTGTTTCAGTTTTTAATGTTGTTATTATTAATATGGGAGCAACACAAATCGTTATTTCCTAAAGGATATATTTGTATAACAGAGATAATAAATTAATTATACACGTAAGATCTTGTTGATTGCATGTTATATTTATTTACAGAATCTTTTTAAATTAAATTTTTTGTTAATGTTTTGCAACTCTCCAATTAGTTTATTGTCACCCATAAAATTCAAAGAAGTTTACGCTTATTTGACTAATTTAGCCCCAACATTGTTTCGCTAAATTATGGGCATGAGGAACAAGTAATAATTTTCGGATAATTTTCATTTTCATATTGTAGGAAAAGTACCAGACTTTTTTTTAAATTAAATTTGTTTTTATCTTAAAATACATTTTTTCTGCCCAACCTATATTTGATTTATTTTTTGATTATTTTTCTCTTTCAACGCATAAGATATTCTTTTTTTCAATTTGAATTTAAATTTTTTCCAGCAATTCATTGAATTAGATAAATTCAGACTTAAAACATTTCCAAGACAATTCAAAAATGGATGTTTTGACATAATTAAGGATCATGCGTGTTCCTTTAGTTGAGCTTGCTGAAAGGCATTATTAGTTCCGACGTTATCTACTTTGCTACTTTTTCATCTATTATTCTAATTATTATTATTTATTATTTTAATTTAAGAGAGAAAATACACAAAAGAATTGAAAACTTTTCAAATCCGTCTCCAAAATGAGACAAAAAAAAAACAGATTATATAAAAAAACAAGTTCTTCCGGCGCCAAGCAAACCGACATTTTTTCCAGTCACGGCTATACGAATTGGAAACCTGAAACCGCCCCTAAAAAAGTAGAAACCTCAAGTGGAAGCCAGATGAGTAGGACAGACAGCCCAACTCGACACATGCATTCGCAAGAGCCGCGCGCCATGATGGTGCAGCATCTCTCAAACTCCTCCTCTGTTCTTGGCTGATTGACATATCAGAAAGAGAGAGAGACAATTCCGTCTCGACGCGAATTTTTTGGCGGCTGTATCTCTCCTCTATCGGAGTAGCGAGAGAGGAATTAGTGCGAGAGCTGCCAGCCGCGGAATGAAAGTGCGTGCACCAGCATGGAGCGAGCCAAAAGCGAGCGCCGCCGTCGTCGTCTTGTTGTCGGCTGCATTTCCAAACGGGGTGCAGTGCAGCAGATTTTCATCCCTCGAGTGCTGACTCACAGACGGGCAATACATCACTGTCACTGTAACCACCACATTCATGCATGCATAGCCCGGACACGTCACTCCGACGACGACCGAAAGCCTGCTGATTTCGCCTGCCTGCCTGCTCGACATCAACACACAGCTCTTTTAATCAATTTCCACGCGCGGAATTTTATATTCTTCAAAGTCCAAAGAAACTTTTGGCCAAAAGTTGCGAAAAAAATTGAAATAAAACGAATATATTATTTCAAATGGGAGATCAAAATTATAATATTTAAAAAAAAAAATGCATTTCCTTCCGATGTGTTTTGAGAATAAAATGCTTTCAAGTCAATGAATTAATAAAAACAGGCGTATTGTATAATAGGCATCGATTATTTTATTTTTATCTCTTTTTATATTTGATTATTAGGTGAAAGATTCAATTAAGCTTTAGAGTTTGTTGCAATGGTAAATTTTTATTTTTAATATTTTTATAATTTGGGCTTTTTTGTTTTTTCCATTTCAGCAGGTTCATTAATTTGGAAGAAAAAGACTGATTGCTCTAGGCAAAACTTAGTTAAATGATTCTAGAAGTTGACCTGCTCCAATATAATAATTTTAATTGAGCAGTGCAATTATCACATTAGTTTATTTATGCGATCACCAATTTTCCTATCGGAGCAAAAAATCGTAAAATATTTTCTCTGCAGGAAAAATTTTTCCGAGGTGATTTTTATCTTTTTTCCCTGAACTGAAGATAAAATTTGTGTTAATTTTAAATAAAATCTTCTTTTGGCACAAATTTGCTCTCACTTTACGGAATCGGCGCGAGGAGGCCACTGATCGATGTGCGGCGGTGGTTGCGACGCGACTAGTTTCTCCAGAGACTCCCCCATTATGTAAATGATTCCTTTCTGGGATGCTCTGCTCCTTTAAATGCGGCTGCGAAATCTTCTCTCTCCGGCGCGCTCCCCCATGTCGCTCTCGAGAGCGATTTGAGCCGCCTGTGTTGAGCGGTGGCCAACGAATAAATCGATCAGTGAAATATATTCAGTTTTTATCTTACGTGCAGCAAAATGCCATGGAAAATGTTCAGGTGTGTTCTATGGCAGGAAGACGAGCAAAAAAGACGCCCAGAGCTGATATTTCTCCCGCTCTCGCTTTCTCTGTTGACGCAGCTTGCCAGGAAAAACGGGGCGAAATATCTGCTGCCTATATCAAGTCACATAATTTAGCGGAGAAAGAGGCGCGCGTACATATATAGCAGAGCATTGAGATATCGCAGCGGGAGGGTAAATTCGAAGCGAAAATATTGGAGAAGCAGCAGAAAGATGAGCTTGTTGCTTCTGCACCACTGAGGCGGTGAAATAAAATGCTGCGATGGGGATTTGCATCCAGAATTTTTTCCTTCTTTTTAAAGGGCCCTGAAAACCTTCCAAAAATTATAATTGGGTTTAGATTTATCTTGACAATGAGGGTCAAAAATAAAATAAGACGAACTCTTTGAATTTTTTTAAAAGTTAAATAAACTCTACCAATTTTTTCCTAAAAGCCGTGAAAACATTTCACATTCAAGGGAACACCATAAAATTTAATTTACTGAAAGCTTCCGGAGACCCTTTGTAAGCTGCACATTTTTTTAAATGAAATAGTACACTATCATTTTTTTAAGTTCCTCAGGAAAGAATCGCAAGGATTAAATGAATAAGTTGAAATATAATTAATCTTTAATTTGAATATATTGAGTTCTATTTTTTTCTTGATTTACCTTGAGAACATCAATTTGTGCAGGCAAACAATTGACTTATGCTGCAAATGCAAATAGCAACAATGAATACAAAAATGATTAAATTATTATTTTTTTAAATATTTAAAATTGCTGAGAAGAATATTATTTATAACTCGCAGAACATTATTAATGCTTTGAAACTTGGTGCCTTCTTGCTAAGGATAAATAAGATTTTAATCAGTAACAATCATTCATTGTTAATTGTAATAATGACCTTCATTGACTATATAAATATAATGATAAAATTATAACAATTACATAAATAATTAAAGGAAAAACTTTTAAAATTTTTGTATAAAAAAACCATTTTGTACTTTTAAAAATAAAATAAATAAATAATATACAGAAAATATTTTAGTAATATTATCTAAAAATATTATTTAAAATTATTAATGATAAAGTTTAATTTATTTATATGTTGTAAAATTGGTAAAATTACTCAAATTTTAAAATATTGCATTGAAAAACTTGTCATCGTCATGGCTAAAGGGCAGATTCGGTGTGAGTCGCTGGAGTCGTTGCCATCTCATGTAAAGGAGCGGTGATGGATGGAGGCCGGGTGACGGAGTGACGTGCCGCGACAACTACTGCCTATTGATTACACCGATCTGAATGGACCCCGCCGCTTATCAGCTGGTTAAAGGGTCCCCGCTTCCTTATCGGAAGCGCCTCTGGCCGCAAGGGTCAGGTGCGGCCGGACTGCGACGGAACAAGGGGATGGAGAAGAGAGAAGAATTTTGCATGCGACGATTTTCAAAAATGAAAAGCGCAGTTTGTACGTAATAAGATCTTTCTCATTTATTTTCGTAATAGTAGTGGGGGTGCTGCATATACATTTTTTAGTATGTACGTACTCTCATCGTCGCGCGTCAGTAAAGCAATTTTCTCGGCGCGGTGCATGCGAAATATTATGCCGTTTGTTTCACTTTTGCGTAACATCAACAACATTATGATCCTCTCTTTGGTGCAGCAAAGTAGTAGTAAATATCAATTTAATACACAGGCGCATTTTATCTCTAAAAGTAGATTTCTTCCCTCTAGCTAGGTAATTACTTTTTTATAATTCTTTATGCATGCATGTGTGTTGCGTGTTCGTGTCTTTGATAGGCTGATTCACCACTTGATAAGAGCATTAGAGAAAAAGAGTTAAAGAGACATCATTGCGTTATAACAAAAACATTAATTTTTTTTCATTCCGTCTATATATTTACACCACTGACACGATAATCAATAATAAATTCAACCAGAAACAACTTTTTGTCCCACTTTTGTTTGCGGTCCACCTTCGCATGTTTTTCTCATCATATATAATATCAAGATGCAATCTATACACAAATCTTAATTTTTTGGTATGGCTCGAGCGTTTTTCTCTCTCACTTGCGGCAAAAAGTCACACTCTTCAGCTCAGCTGGTAGTACTCCGGTGCGAAGTCATTAGCCAGGTTGGACAAAAAGTTAAAATCAGACGAACTGTTGCTGTTCTCGGACGCCATGCTGTTCGAACTGGCCACCATTGGCGGCGCGGCAGCGATTGCCGGCGTCGATGTTGAGGCGCTCTGCTCGTAAAAAGTACTAGTTCCTGCAGCAGCGAACTGCGGAAACTGGGGGCCGTGCTCCGTCCCGTGAGTCTGCATTTGTGGCTGCTGCTGGTGCAAAGAGGTAGAGACCGCAGCCGCCGTGGCCGCTGCGGGGAACGTGTCGGGCGAGGAAACGTAATGGCTGGGGATGTTTGAGGCTTCGCCACCTTGCATCAGGTCGGCGGAGGCGGCGTAGTAAGTTGAGCCGGCCTTGTGGTACTGCGCCTGGTGGTGCTGCTGGTGGTGGGCGTGGTAGTTCTCGTAGTACTGGCTCAGGGCTTCACTCGAGGCCTGTTGTTGCTGATTTTGTTGGTAGTAGGCAGAGTTGGTGTAGTTGTAAGGACCGTTCACCTGTTGGGTCGTTTGGGTTTGGGTTTGTGGCTGGTGATGGTATCCTTCTTCGTACTGAGCCTGGTAGGCCCTTTGCTGCTGTTGAAGCTGGGCCTGGTTGTAGTAGGTGGAGGTGCTGCCCTCCTGCTGTTGTTGCTGCTGATAGTAGGCGTTGTAGCCCGCCTGGTAGTATCTTGCCGTGGCCGTTTGCTGCGTCCTGGGGGTGGTCACAGGGTTGTGCAGGCCGTTGGCTCTCCTGTAATCACCCTGAACGGAGGTGCAAGGGTACTGCTGCCGGATGGGGGCCGCTTGTCCAGGGAATCGACCCTGGGGAGTGGTGTAAGCCCTTGAGGGGTAGTCTGCTCGGTAGGGGGTGGTTTTGAAGTTCCGGCGAGCAGCTACGACATTGTTCGGAGCTGGAGAGGTCTGAAGAGTGGCGGGGGACGGCGAAGGGTGGCGATACGCAGGGCTGGGGTGAGGCGGCGACGACGTTGAGGGTGTCAGGCTGCCCAGACTAGGTTCGGCCAGCGCGTCTACGGGTGGCGTTTTTGGTGATGCGTCCACCGGCGAGTGCTTCACTTCCATCTTTATGACGTCAGCCATTTTGATAGAAGGGGTGAGAACTCCACTCTCACGGGACTGCGAATCCTCTTCCTTGAAAGAGCTGCTGGTGGAACTGCTGCTGCTAAAAGCATTGCTACTGTTATTATTTTTTGCAGAATTATTGTTGTTGTTGCCAGACGTGAGGGGTCCTCCGGGCAGCTCGCAATTTTGGCAACTCTTTTTGTCCTCCTTGGCCTTTTCCTTGGATCCCTCTTTATCGTCGTCACCTTTGCCCACGGTTTGTCTTTTGTGCTTCATCCGTCGGTTCTGGAACCACACTTTGACCTGGCGCTCTGTCAGGTCTAGGGAGGCGGCGATCTCGATTCGCCGCGGTCGACACAGGTACTTGTTGAAATGGAACTCTTTCTCCAGTTCAAGCAGTTGGGTGTTGGTATATGCAGTGCGCAATCTTCTCGGCAGGCCATTTTCTGTGAACAGAAAATTCAAAATTTTAGATTCACTTCAATTTTTTCTTGCTCTCCTTCTCTTTAAAAAAATTTTTTTAGTTCATTTTATACAGCAATTTAGTCGCGCCTTTTAGCTGGTTTTTGCCTAAATTTGAGTTAATTTTTTTATTGAGATTTTTGCTATAAATTACATGATAATATTATTTCCACCTTTTTTTAAATTTTTATCCGAGAAAGGAAACAATTCCTAAGTTCTTTTAAAATTATTGTACAATTTTTTATTATTTTTGATTAAAAAATAACTTCTATTTTTGGAAGCATAAATCTTATTTAATCACCAATTTCTCATCATTTTTAAATTTCCGAACTATAGCATTTATGCAGAATTTTATTATATGAGTGTTTTGTTTGATATTTGGGAACAAAATTTATATTTGTTTTAAAATTATAACTTAAAATAATTTTCTATAAAGCTCAAAACATATAAAACATGTTGTTACATTAATTGGAAATTGGAATATCATGAATTATATTCGTTGATTAATATATTCCTCTTTTGCAATAAAATAATAAGTGACGCAATGACTTTATTTAGTGCTAATTTCAATTGCTTGAAATAAAATCTGCATGAAATTAATTTTTAAATATTAGATACTTATTTGTATTTTTTTAAATTTTTTCTTTCAAAATTTTGCAGTTCTCTTAAATCTAGTATAATTTTTTTACTTTAAAAGTTGAAAAAAGTCAGTCGTTTTAGTCTATTTCAGTAGTTTTAGTCGGAAATTAAAGAAGTAGTCGTTTTCTTAGTCGATTTTAAAAATTAGGTGCCAATCGTATAAAATCACATAATTTAGTAAATTTATTTTCTAATTATACGTCAAAAGTGAAAATATGAGCGCATAACTAATATAAAAAAGAATTTGGGTGTTGAGCGACATCCAAAATATTGATTTTAATAAAGCATGGGTGACGTGTGTGTGTGCTCGAGCTCTTTCGCTCTCTTTCTGTCTCTCTCGGCAAATGCAAAAGCAATAACCCACATGGCACGCTGGCGAGGATACACGTACGCGCGCCTATATAATATCAGTACATATATCCATCCATCCTTTTATAGTGGTGCCATTACAATTTTTCTTCCTCGTCATCTCCTCCTTATACAATTTCAGTGTTTTTTATCTGCCGTATGTGTGTGTGTGCAGTGCGCGCCCGCCCGCCTCTATTTTATATTCTGAGTGATGTGTCTTCCTTCTCTTATGCTTTCTGTCTCTGGCTGTAATCTGGGTGCTATTCAAAAAAGGTATTTTATTTCTTTTTTGCCCCCTTTCTCTGATGCAGTATTTCCCTACGACCATTTGTCAAAAGGCGCGCGCTCCGACTTTCAGCCGACTAAAAGGCTAAAGCCACCCACGGCAGCGCAGTGTCATTTTGCGCGCTCGAAACGTCACCCTATGCAATATCACGATGCGTGTTGCGTTGAATAGGATTCGCTCTCAATGAAAGAGGACGTGAATCGCACTACTCATTGTGGCAATTAACCGAAATCCGCGAGCAAGAGAGGGCTTCACGCTTCTACTATCAGCGGGTGAGCCTAAATGACAATCAAGCGCTCGTCTTTTTATGTTATTAGAGGCAACAATCAGTCGCACTCAAGTAATCACAGCATAAAACCTTTTCATTTACAGAAAACGACCTTGAGCAACTGTCAATCTGAAATAGTACAAGCACTACAAGCAGCACGAGTGGAAAATGCTTTTGTTATTATTTCCTTATATATTTTGTTTAATAATATTTCTCCAATAATAATTGTTTATATAAGCAAAAAATGTTTGTTTAAATTAAAAAATTTGTTTATTATAATGCTCAAGCCAAATTTTTATTATAAAGAAAAAACTTTTCCTACGGTATGGAAACTTCTTTTTAACTGTCTCTTTAGATTAAGATTAAATTCATTATATTGATTTCACTTAATTTTTATTCTTCACTTTTTTAATTGCGAAAGGTATAAAACATTGTTCATCCACAAAATTAATTTAAATCTTGATATTGAATGAAAAATATATATCAAATATAAATGAAGGAAAATTAAATTTAGTCACATATTATTTCTTTATCATAAGACCCTTTTATTTGTAAAATTAGAATTGTGAAAAAGAATTTATCGTCCCAACGGAATAGCTAACAAATGTAGCTCATTACGGCAAGTATAATCCACCTTCTAAATTTGCAATTCAAATACATTTATTCAATTTATTTTATTATTTTAATTTTTATTGTATTAGCTTTCTACACGGCTAGTATGGCAATTTTATTGTTTTAATTATAATAAAATTTTTATTAAAATTATCTTGACATCAAATTTTATTATTAATTTATTTTATAACTATAATAATTATCTTATAAAAGGAAACAAAATTTTCTTTTGAACAAACATCTTGAGTAGAAAAGCAAACTTTGCACTGATTGAACCTTTATTTCACATTTTATTTATTTTTTAATTATGAAAAGGTTGTAATGTTTTTCCAATGTTTTTTCTTTTTTATTTCCTGTGCCAGTTTTAAATCTGTTCTTGTTTTTTAAAATTTTTTAATTCAAATTTGTTTTCTATTTGTAAAATTTGAACTTTCATTTGAATTTCAGTCGCAGTTGTAACAAATAAAGCAATTTGTTCTAAAAATTTATTTTTATTGGAATATACTCTGAATAATTATGAATGCCCCTGTCACTTTTGACGTGTTTTGAAAGCTCTACAAATTGAGATTTATTTTGTTTTGATGCTGAGAACGGGCATTGGGGAATGGCCGCGCAGCGGAACTGGAACACGCGGCCGTGGATCCGCGTGGCACTATCTCTGCATCAGGATCTGCTCACTTTGAAATTCCACACCGTTTTAATAATCATTTGGGATGTCAAAACATAATTCTCTATAGGAAAACTCTAAAAGCGCTTCTGCGCCATGCCGAGTGCATTTTCCTGCTCTGACGCAAATCGCTACAGACCAATAGGTCATAAAAAATATTCGCTCTTTTGTGCATCGTATTGAACCGCGCGTGTATATTTTCTTTCATGAGAGCGACAGCAGTTCAAATAAAAATGATGACAGGCGACCATGATAAATAACTCATCTGCTATGTGGCAGTGCGATAAATTCATCGCCTCATTTTTGTCATACCTGCTGATGCCCCACATTCCCGTTCACATGCAGCACGCAAGGGAGTTGTGATAACTTTTTTAATAAAGGACTTTGGCATTGCAGAATAAATGGGGGTATCTTGCTAATTACGTACGACCCTCCGCCACTTGCGTGTTACGGAAATTGTCTAATTTCATTTGAACCAGACTGGTCATGTTTTAAATAATTCAAATTTACAGCAATCTCTCACAATCAGGTATATTTAAAATTAAGTAATATTAATGATATTGACGTAAAAAAAATAACTAATTAAATTGATATGAGATATTTTTAGAAATATTCATCTGAGAAAAATTAAAATTTTATAATTTTAAAATTTTTTATAGGAGATCATTGACCCGAAATATATGAATAAATAAGAATAAACAGTAGAGAGATTGATGAATTTATTTTTATTTTATTTATATTTTCGAAAGTACTTTTTTCTAATGATTTTGATCTGCTGCGTGAAGGAAAATTGTTTCAGGAAAATGAGATAAATATAATTGCTCAATTATTTTAAAAGAAATCAATTTCCTTTCCTACTTTGTAGAATAACCAAGAATTGAATTCCGAATGTAAAAAACGCAAGAAGAAAAAAGAGGGCATGGAAAAGGAGGAGGCCAATTTGAAGTAGCGCGGCGCGTATTGATCATTTGGAAGCGGCCGCTGGTCAGAACGAGGGTTGCGTGCCACTCAGGGGCAAAAAGCGTGTCGGGCCGGGGGCTGCATACTTGCGAGCGGCAAACTTTTTGATTGACACGCGGGCTCATCAAAATTCTGGGCCCGTGATTGGCCAGACAGGCTGTCAATCAAAGTGCACACCACGCCTAGGCCTGCAGGGTGTCATATTCCGCCCTGGATCATCCCCTACTCGCACAACTACCCCGGCAGCTGAACTCGGCGCGCTCTTCGAGAAACTTTGCGTTCTTTAAGGTTAAAGCTAAACCTGTAAAAGATGACATGCAGGCGGCCAATGGCCTCAAAATTTTTAAATTTAGAATTTGTTATGAAATCTTTTTCTTTCAAATTATTTTAAAAGATTAAAATAATTTTTTTTTATCAGTGGCTCACTTTTAATGGTATAATTGAAATCAAAAATAAATTAAATTCATGTATGTAGAAAAATGACCGACTTTGTTTGTTAAGAACCTCCTAAATTTTGTCTATTTTACATATTATAAAAAAAAATTAATTAATGTGATTTTTTGGCAATCACAATTAAATTCAGTTTAAAACATAGATACAGCATGATTTTAATTTTCATTACCATTATGGCTTTTAAAACAATTTACTCATTGTCAGTGAAAATAATTAAACGCCAACCAATCAATTTCCAACTAAAACTATATAAACCGGAAAAAAATTTATTTAAAACATTATTATTTTTTTCAGTGATGTTCTTGAGTTTTATTTTTGTACTTGATCTTTCAAAAATCGAAATTTTTCTATTTTTAATTATTTTTTATTAAATTTTAACAGTAATTCATTGCGAATAATTATTTAAAACATATTATATTTAAAAAAATCACTTGATTCTTCAATTAAAGTACCGCCAGTAATTCTGATATCAAATTTATCATTCGATCAATTATTTTAATGATAAAAAAAATTGGAAATAAAATGTTTATTTGGAAATTGAAGGAAAGTCGCAAGAAAAATTATCACACCTTTTTATGATATTTCCAATTTTGAAACCAGAAACGTCAAAAGAAAATAGCAGATTGAATTCAGAAAATTGGCGTGTCAAATTGTGAGTGGTGCAAGATTTGGAGAATAAGCGCGAGATCCATTTGGGCAAGGATTTGGCCCTGACAGGTCGCGATTTGACTGCAGAGCGGGCAGGCGGGCG